GCAAGTTATCTTCTATTAGAGGCTTTGTTAGTGAGTGCCAAGTGACATTACCCACAGAAAACACTGGGAAGCTTGGTAATTAGGCATTAATGACCTACAACAAGAGAGTTCTCAGGTTCTCTCTGTTGACTGAACAGGTTCTCAGGTTCTCTCTGTCGACTGAGCAGGTTCTTCACTAATGCCAGGAGTGCCATTAGGCAGCGTAAAGGAATTAGGATAGAAATACAGGTGGATGTTATTGTCTGGTCTGTGTCAACACTTACTGTTTCATATTTTAGATAGCTACAAATTTAAAACCACATCATCATGCCACACCATTGAACCAATTTGTATTTTACGTGCAGGCCTATTTGATTTCCGGGCGCCTGTTTGTAAAGCACATTGATTTCTATCCAGGCATTAAATGTGTTTAGAGCAAACCTCTGCCTTGATTGATGGAAGGATATTGAAATGTCCTCTCTCTGTTTCCCAATCCATTACACTATACACACACAATCACACTGAAGGAGCAAGGCTCTGATACTGAACGTTCCCACCAATCATGCTGGCTGTGATCATGATGAATGTTTTATGGCATTACTAGAACTGGTGGTGGTAGTCACCCTGCTTGCACTTGGCCTTTTCTGTAAACAGTCGTTAGCCCACCCATGATGACCAAATTTATAGGTAAGAGCTTCCAGTGGGGGACTGCTGCTGTTAGGTGTTCTGAAAGAGGTTTTGAATGGAGCTACAGATGCATGTTATATGATAGGATAGTGGTAGGTGGGATACTGGTGATGCAGAATGGGGGGGAAATGAGGGGTAGTTTCCTTACCATCTGCCATAGAGCTATACATACGTGAATAATGTGTACCACAATGTACTTCTCTTAAAATAACCAAATTCAACCCACACAACTTTGACAATCTTATAACCAATTGCTTCTTATATGCAGAATAAGTAATTGTAAGTCTACAAACGCTTCTCTCCCTTTGTTTTTTCCCCACCATAAATGGTTGATTCTTTTATCTGTGATTCTTATAAGCGGAAACCACTGTATTTGTAGGAGGATAATGCTAAAGGATAGTGCTATCTCTGTTGCAAAATGTTACTGTTACTCAGACTGTTATGTCTCATGCCCATTATTGGGAGTGATGTAACCTTCTTTTTTGGATAGAGTGGAAAATCTAACTAAATCTGCAGCGCCATGGGGTGCAGCCTTTAAGTGTATTCATTTTGCCTTTGCTATCTGATCCGAGGGCACACTGCTCTGCCAGGACTGATACTGGGGAGGGCCATGCCCATTTAGTACCCACAGCACAACCAGTGGCTTCCTCTTCATATTGTGCCCAACCAGTCGCACTTTGACCAGTATTAGCGCAGTCGCTGGTTCTGGTAACACTTTACATTAACTTGCTATTATACCTGTGTAATAACCATGTTAGTAACAGCTATTTAGTTATTGAAATCTGATTGCATAGCAATGGAGTTCAAATAAAAATGTATTTGTCACATGCCACGAATACAACCTGTGTAGACTTAACCGCAAAATGCTTGCTTACAAGCCCTTCCCAACGAATACAAAAATAATAATACAAAGAAAATTAATAACACAATAAAATAAAATACACAAGAATGGAGCTATATACAGGGAGTACCAGTACCAGATCAATGTGTAGGGGTATGAGGTATTTGAGGTAGATATGTTCATGAAGGCAGGGTAAAGTGACTAGGCATCAGGATAGATAATAATAAGAGTAAAATAAAGAACAGAGTAGCAGCAGCAAATGATGAGTGTAAAAGTGTGTGTGTATATGTGTGTTTGTGTTGTGTTGGTATGTGTGTCTGTGTATGTGTGTTTGTGAATGTGTGTGAGAGTGCAGTGTGTGTATTGTATATAGTGTGTATATATAGTCTTGTGAGTGTGCATAGTGTCAGTGCAAGATAGGGTCAGTGCAGATAGTCCAGATAACCATTATTTACCTATTTAGCAGTCTTATGGTTATTTAGCAGTCTTATGGCTTGGGGGTAGAAGCCTGTTGGTCACGAGAGCCAATGCTCTGGTATCGTTTGCTGTACGGTAGCAGAGTGAACAGTCTATGGCTTGGGTGGCTGGAGTCTTTGGAAATTATTTGGGCCTTCCTCTGACACGGCCTGATATAGAGGTCCTGGATGGCAGGGAGCTCGGCCCCAGTGATGTACTGGTCTGCCCGCTTTGTGGTCGAGGGTGGTGCATTTGCCATACCAAGCGGTGATGCAGCCAGTCAAGATGCTCTCGATGGTGCAGCTGTAGAACCTTTTGAGGATCTGAGGGGCCATGCCAAATATTTTCAGCCTCCTGAGGGGAAAGAGGCGCTGTTGTGCCCTCTTTATGACTGTGTGTGTGGACCATGTTAAGTCCTTAGTGATGTGGACGCCAAGGAACTTGAAGCTCTCGACCCGCTCCACTACAGCCCCATTGATGTGGATGGAGGCGTGCTCTCCCCTGTTTCTCCTGTAGTCCACGATCAGCTCCTTGGTCTTACTGACGTTGAGAGAGAGGTTGTTGTCATGGCAACACACTGCCAAGTCTCTGACCTCCTCCTTGTAGGCTGTCTCATCACCGTCTGTGATCTACCACCATTGTGTCATCAGCAAACTTGATGATGTGGTTGGAGTCGTGCGTGGCCAAGTAGTCGTGGGTGAACAGGGAGTACAGGAGGAGACTAAGCACACACCCTTGAGGGGCCCCGTGTTGAGGGTCAGCATGGCGGAGGTGTTGTTGCCTACACTCACCACCTGGGGCCATCCCGTCAGGAAGTCCAGGATCCAGTTACAGAGGGAGGTGTTCAGTCCCAGGGTCCCCAGTGTTGAACGCTGAGCTGTAGTCTATGAACAGCATTCTCACGTAGTTATTTCCCCTCTTGTCCAGGTGGGAGAGAGCAGTGTGAAGTGCAATTGAGATTGCGACATCTGTGGATCTGTTGGGGCGGTATGTCAATTGGAGTGGGTCCAGGGTTTCTGTATCTTGACTGCTCCTTATTTCACTAACAAAGAACGCTCAAACCCATAACCATTACAAAGTGATTACTAATTCACCATGTAACCGCATGTTAATACAATGTTGTTACTATAGTAACAACATTACACAGGTAGAGAGCTACTGTTACTGTTTTACTACCTTGTTTGATGTATGCAAGGCTTTCAAGTGAGCTCATAATAAAAAATGAGAAACACAACAAACACATTGTGATAAAAACATTGGAATGAAATCAAACTAGCTGTGAAGCCTGTGAAAAGACATGCAAGTAGCTAAGGCAAAAAAATATAACATTTAATTTCCTAACAAAGCCCACCCATTGATTTTTGAATACTCCAAATGTTGAATGTGCATATTATTTTCCGGCCTTTTACATGGATTTTGCATTTTAACATTATATTCATACTATTCTGCAGTACTGTCTTTGCAATATTGCTGTAGAACTGGTCATTGAGGACTGGATTTTTCAAGATGAGCCATTGTTTGGAACCCGAGAGGCCACAGTACTGCGTGCACAAGCTGTTTCCCAGGCTGAAGCTCAGCAACACAGCTTGAGAAGCAGAAGTCCCCTTCAGTCGCTCTCTTTTTATCCCCCTTTTACCTTTATTTAACAATCGCTCCTTCTCCACTCCAACAGCCACCCCCAAACACTCAGTGAATAAAGTTAGTGCAACATGCGGCCCTTAAACCCACCCCAAGACTGCTGCCTGGCAGCCACACTCACAGAATTGTTTGTTAATAGTCCAATTAGATAATTGCCATCTTTCACTCCTTTTCCTCTCTGTTTCCCATAAAGGAATGAATGGTGTTCAGGGAGGGGGGCAGCTTGAAGAGGGCTTCTGGCCCCACAAGGTGACGAGAAGGGCCGGAGAATGTTCCTTGCACAAGGCCATTGGTTTGAATTGAATCATTGTAGCCTAATCAATGGTCTTATTGGATTACTGGCAACTGCTGTTCCCTGAGATATTGTCGCTCTGACAATGAAAATAGCTAAAAGTTGGTGGGTGGGTAGTGGGGTGGAAGGAGAGTGCTGGAGAGGGGGGCCGTTCCAGGGGTGTGAGTGTAGGCACTAATGACAAGTTTTGTCCCATATTTTGTGTTTTTCAGATTGTGCAGGTTAAGATTATATGTGGTGCATATATTTGAATGGTGGGGACGCGGCTTTAATGACTAGGAACTTTGGGTTACTCTTCGTGCTGTTGTTTGTCGTGCTGAGTGACTTTAACACAGTTCCTGTTAAGCAGAGCCGGGTGGCTTTTGTGAATCAGCTGTCGTGGCCAGTACAAATTCCAATTGGGGTGGATTCACTTTTTTCTGTATCCTTTGTTTCTCCGCCTCTCATTTATTCTCTCTCTCTCTCTCTCTCTCTCTCTCTCTCTCTCTCTCTCTCTCTCTCTCTCTCTCTCTCTCTCTCTCTCTCGTCTCTCTCTCTCTCTCTCTCTCTCTCTCTCTCTCTCTCTCTCTCTCTCTCTCTCTCTCTCTCTCTCTCTCTCTCTCTCTCTCTCTCTCTCTCTATCCGTCTCTCACTCCCACTCGCCTGGGATAGCACTATAGTGGTGAGAGCTGTATGTTGCAGAGGGACGATCATTGGCGAAAGACACAGTAAATGCGATTAAAGTTAGCCATCGTGGCAAGACAACCAACTCTGGAGAAACATTGAAAATGGCTGGCCATGTTTCAGGGATCGAAGAATGAAGTGCCTGGGAACTTTTCTGGAAGTGTCGTACCGCTGTGATTGTGTCTGTGTGCTCAGGAAGGCTTTTTTGCAAAGTGAGACCAATAATTTCTCTTGATTCCCTTGCTGAGAGCTGGCTGACAGAGAGGGACGGAGCGAGCGAACCCCTCCATTAGGACCTGATATATTTCCCAAACAATTTAGTGTATTCATGAGGCTACGCAAATGTGGAGGCAGCAAAATTACCGTAATCAATTGAAACAGTGAGCGTGTGTCGTTCCATGGCTCTGATTATTTGGAGATCATCTATCAGCCTGATGTGTATGTAACAAGGCGAGTGGGCATTAAATCGCTGTTGAGTTTCAGTGATAAGTCCATGATCATTGGGCAAGTGAGTTGGACAACGATAATAGGGCACCTTGGCGGGTGAGGCAAGTGTTTCCCGAACATTAGGTAGCTGACTGTGGTCTAAAAGGTGCTGTTTTAAAACAAAGTCACACTGTTGAGACAACACAACGTGCAATACTCTCTGAAATCGCTTTTTTTCACCTGACAAAGGAAAAAAATAAAGAAACATTGAAGAGGATAAGTTAGTATGGAGGTCAGATACAACCAAGAGACAGATCCAGGGATGAGGCTGAAGAACGGCATAAAGGATGGGAAAGATAGCAAGGATTCCCAGGGAAACCTTTCCAAAACCTTCCTAAAGGATCAGCAGGAGTCCTTCTCGCCATCTGGGACGGTGGAAAGCTGTGAGAAGAACCGGGGGAGCACGGGCGACCCGGACTACTGCCGGAGAATACTTGTCCGAGGTGAGAGGATTTCCACTCATATTTACTCCTGTTGCAGTGTATGGGCTCTATTTACTCATTGCTTTAGTTTATATGTATCCACAGTATGAAATAAGATCATTTGCTATGTGAGATATGCTGAATTGCCAGACTGATGTTTTGGATATGGGATTCCAGTATAGGCTTTGTGTAGACTCAAGAAGCGTAGAAATAGCTTTTGGTTTCACAGACATACTGCTACATTGTTCCCAACCAAATTCTCTGTTTTTATACTGTATGTACAATATGTTTGAGGTATTGGGATCGATACAATTTTTCAACCGTTAGAATCGTTATACTTATTCATTCGACTTTATTTATTTGACACCAAGCAGCAAATTTCCCCCTACCGCTATTTGGTTTATGTTGTTGTTTTTATCTCTCTTTCATTTTCAGAAAAATAACAGGAAATTAGGCACCATCAGTTAACAATGCACTATAGTCCCGTTTGTAGCTTCCGGGGCATTCTTGGGTGAGAGTACAACATTATGCCAAAGAAGAAGAAAATAGAAAAACACACACCCCCACTCACTCTTATCTGTCTCATGGTAGTTTTAGTCATTGTAAAAGTATTTTTGGCTTTATCCTTAAACCATTTTGAATTCAAAGTAAATACAAACATACATTTTTTTTTGCACTTTTGTAAAAATTAACTATGTGCATATTTTTATGAATTTTCTTCTTTATGTTACATTTTACATTTACATTTTAGTCATTTAGCAGACGCTCTTATCCAGAGCGACTTACAGTTAGTGAGTGCATACATTTTTCATACCGGCCCCCCGTGGGAATCGAACCCACAACACAACCCTGGCGTTGCAAGTGCCATGCTCTACCAACTGGCCTTACTCCTGTGACATACTCCTTCTATCAAAATGGTTTGCATTCACCAACAATTGGGTTTCTTCTGAAATTGAATTATACAGCACACTTATAGAATCATAGAGCACATTTATTTAAGATATTAAGTACATTTGGTTTGAAAATTAAGGATGAATTTCATGCTACTATATATAATCTATCTCCATTAAAATACTATTTTATTTGAAAGCAATATTCACACAAGTTTCAAATCATAAGATACACAGGTTTTCACTATCTTATCTTATTCTGATACAGATGATGAATAAGTAATACTAATGGAGGTCAAATGCACTTGCTTACATCATCTTGTTCTAAATAATATAAGGTATTTCATATGTAGTTAATACAAAGACATTAGTTAATTGTTATGTTGTTTTAGTGTCATCTGGCCTCAGGGGTAAATTGTAACAGAATAAGCGCACATCATTTATTTAATCTGTTTAACACAGTTGGTCAAACATGGAGACTGTTTGAAAACATGAATATATCCTTGCTAATAGGTATGGAAATAATTTAGCAACTAAATGAAAACTAAATTCAAACAAATGTTTATACTTTCAGGTTATCTTTTGCTGCTTTTAGATGATGAGAGAAATAATCATAATTTAAAAAGTAATAATACATTTTAGTTCATTGAGTAAATTCTTAAGAAATAACCTTTTTCTATTATCTTTTCTATTTTCTCTCTTTTTTATTAAGTCATTAAATGCTCATACAGTTATGGAATAAATATCAAGTTATCTAAAGGTATATCCTTTAATTATTTTTTCGTTTACATTACAAAAGTACAACTTTTTAATTACACATTACATTTTGATTGTAGAAAACTATAGGGGGGAAAACTATTTTGAGGTTAGTTTACTCAATTTAGGAGAGAGTACTGATTGAGATGATAAAATATGATCATTTAGACTAGCGTATTGATGCAATTAAATGGGTTGACCAAAGGAAATGATCACAATAATAAATAAAAAAGTATCATTGTATTTTGTAGATGTTTTATACTTTTGATCAACTTTCTTCTAATTAAAGACTGTTTTTTTTGACTGGTTTTAATGTGGTTGAGGTTATCCCCTAGTACATTTGGAAAGTACACTAGTTGGTTGGGAAAATGTCAGTGTATTAATTTAAGTAATGCATATTACTGTGGTTGATATTGTGCATTTTATGCATTCATATAAATAATGTACCATATTCATGTGCATACCTGGATGGTTAATTTTTCAATTTTGCATACATTCTTGGTTATCTGAAAACATTGTATTGTATTGTGTGATGTAATTGAATAGAAATCCTCAGTTTTATTACCCTAAATGATGTATTTTATTATGTATTTAATGTGTTTTACTTCGAAAATACAGTAAAATCATCATAGATATCTTGATATAGCTTTATGCTATGCACTGCAACAAGACGTAAATCTTTCATTGACGGTAATCATTCATTTCATGGACAACAGAAGGCCTACACATATTACTAAAAATTATGAATGGTCATTCTAATGTTGTGATAATGATGAGCCAAAAGTATTTCTAAATTTGAATATAGTTATCATTGACAAATCTTCAATGGTCACTTGTTCTTTTTTGTAGATGCCAAAGGGTCTATCCGAGAGATCATTCTGCCAAAGGGACTGGATTTGGACCGTCCCAAACGAACCCGGACCTCTTTCACTGCAGAGCAACTCTATCGTCTGGAGATGGAGTTCCAGAGGTGCCAGTATGTGGTTGGGAGGGAACGGACAGAACTGGCCCGCCAGCTAAATCTATCTGAAACGCAGGTAATTCAAGCAATACAATACATGTACCTATTTCACTCTGGCCATCAGTAAATAAATACAAAATCCACATTCTGTGTTATCATAGATATGTTATGGGTCATTCCACAAATAGAGTGCCTTTTGGGTAGTGTAATTTGGTCCAAAATAACTATTTTTTTCACCTAATTTTTACATTCTGTCAAAAGAGCACATGCTCAACTTCATAAAAAATATGTTTTCCCATCTCAAGACGTTAAGTAAAATAAAAAAGACTATAAAAGTGGAAATTAAAGTAATAGGGCTGACCGTAACAGGGTTGACCGTAACAAAGTTGACAATTTCATCTTAAATCAGCCATAACTCCACCTGTGACAGGGGAAATTGAAGCTTGTTGTGTGCAACAGGGAGGGGCAATTGAATGCATGCTTTACAAAAATTTTTAGCTAGCCTGTCTATCTTGTGTAACAGGCGTAACATGTTATGCTCGATGCACTCAGTTTTCTACCACAAAACACCAGCAAATGGCCAAAAGGAGTAGAACCAGTTCACCTGCTTTTACACTATGATTTGACTATTAGATGTTCAATGTTTATTTTGTTAATCACTAAATCACAATAAATAAATAATAATCTTCAGAAATTACTTTGTCAAAGCAACAAAAGAACAAGGGCTTTACAATGATGGTGAAAACTTGGTGAAATCTTGGGATTAAGTGGGTTACAATCTTCCTAGAAGTCGGACAAACATGAAAACACTACTATTGGAATATTTAACATAGTTTAGTTTAGTTAGAGCATAGATGTATTTGATCTAACTGTTACATTTAGTGGTTTATCAAAATGTACACAGATAATGTCACAAGGACATAAAAGGCACTCTATTCGTGGAACGACCCTTATGTATTTCAAAATCTTATCTCAAATGTGAAAAATAGTGTGTATGATTACACACATTTATGTAACTTACACAATGCTTTCTACGTTGACATCATGCTTATGTAAGCATATCCCATTCCAATACAATCTATTACAGTTTTACTATAACCCTGACATTTTTTATTTAGCGTACTGATTAGTTAATAAAAAAATATTTTTGGAAGATAATTTAGAAAAAGGCAGACTGCTTCACTGATCATATAGCTCAAGCAATAGTACTGTTGAGTTATGATCATATACAAAACTCAAATCAAATCAAATCTCTTTCATTGTATTTAGCCTAGTGAACTATGCATCTCGTTTCACTGCTATCCCAACGAATTCTATAACCTTGTTAGCCTAAATTGTTGCATTAAGGAGGCTCATTTTCAGTGCAGAAAAAGTATGTTTCTAGTCCACAGGTCTTAGCTATGGGGTCAGGGAAAGGTCACACTGCGCCCACTGTGGGTGAACTGTATTTGCTCTTGTCTGCTCGTTCTCGACAAGAGATACCAAGCTTAGTCACCCTTCAATGTATAATTTTCACTTCAGGGAAATCTTGCTCTCTGCTTCAGAGCTTAGTCCAAAATATTTGGAGCACAATTTTATTTATTTATCTTGCAAGCTGGCTAATGGCATAGTCAGCCACATTTACCTTATATGTTTATTACGTACGTCATGAATGTTTCAGTGGGCCTAAACAACCTTGACCTTGGACAGAGGTCATACTGCAGCATTAGACACGTGTTTCAATTATAAATGTTTTCCTGACCAATACATTTGGACTAATACATTTGATGCTTTTATTTTGTATTCAGCTACAGTATTCATGTAGTTTACCATGTCAGCACACAATTAATTCAGAATTCTTTGGTGGTTTTTAGAATAGAATAATAGTGCTTTAGACACACAGCCCTTAGGTCCCCATTCATAGGGAGGACAATAGGCTTGAATGTCTTAATGTATTTTCACATGCAGCATTAAATGTTGCACGCAGCCATGCTCCTTGATTGCATTAAATCTTCAAATGTCTCCTTCATGCGTTGATGAAGTGGTCTCTAATGATGGCATCATGAAATTAACATTTTGTTCCAATGCACTCTTGGGGTGTTACATTAAGAAACGACAGCCATTTGCTGAAGTGTGCACACCTAATCATCTTTGTTTGGGTTGCTGGCTTCAGAGCCCCTCGTTAGACCTTGTTGAAAATGTATCCTCTCAGATAAAATATGTTCTCCAATAATTTAGGATATTCTTATAACATGAGGGAATATGGTAATCATAATGTAATTCCTTACTTCCGGAGTGTAAAATAGATTTGCGATTGACCCACTAACCTTGGGAATTTACTGAGTTGTTTATCTACAACAACTACATGGAGGAAAATATGCTATTCAGATGTGATTGAAGTAGCTGCAGTTTGAGGTACTGTAGCTGGAGGCTCATTGATTGAGACACATTCACTCTAATTATGGTCCGTATGAAAGCAATCGGGTTTAATTGCCACAGACTTGATAGAGGTGGGGAAATACATGAAGAAAACTGAAGAAAAAAATACAAACTCCTATTATCCTTTTTGGAAAAGGAATATGTAAAATAGAAATATATAAAATGCAAATGGGAAAAGAGAGGTCTATTTTCATTGTTGAATGACTATCAAACATGTGGAATGCAACATGTGGAATGCAAATGCAGTTACATTACCTCTTCAGCGTGAAAATGGCCTTTCACAAACACGTTTTTTCTTTATCCACATGAATAGGAATACAATAGCCATGTTTATCTGTATGCGCACTTTACTTTGTTATACTCCTGTCCTTGTTACAGTATACTTCAGACACACACACATACATACAGTATATACTCATTACTATCTGACCCTGCTTTTGTTACTTTCATGTCTTTGAGTTCATTAATTATTTTGAATTTTCATAAGATGAAAAAATGTCATGGAAATACATTTTATTCATTTCTAGCTACATTATCTTACAGTCTGCATTTCACTAGGAGAAAAATATGTTATAAAGTCATTCATGCCTCCTCTTACGGAAAGTTTTGTTCAAGTTTAGACCACAAACACAGTACTGTATAGTATATGTGTGACTCTGATAACATCCATTAATGTGACGTTGATACGTAAATATTTATATGGCATTAGGTTGTGATTTCATCCGTATTTCTGTAAATTAGCTACTAAATCTATCAAGGCCCCCTGGTCCAAGTCCCTGATCGTGCTACCAATGTTATTACTATCACAATTCAATTCATGTGGACATCAAAGTGTGACCTATACTGAGACCACAAGGGAATTCATAATTATTCACAACAATCCAAATTATTCAGTCATTTTCTACAAACATTGGTGTTGCAATAAATGCCTACAGATATTAGAAAATAGTACATATTAACCAAAGTATATTAATTTGGCTTTTGCAAATAGACCCTGTTGCTGAAGGTCTCTATTGCTTATTTTCTGGCTGATTTTGGAGCGGTTTTCTGTCCTCCCTCAAGGTTAAAGTTTGGTTCCAGAACCGACGCACAAAGCAGAAGAAGGACCAGGGCAAAGATTCAGAGCTGCGCTCGGTGGTGTCGGAGACGGCGGCCACCTGCAGTGTATTGAGACTCCTGGAGCAGGGCCGGCTCCTCACGCCGCCAGGCCTGCCGGGGCTCCTGCAGCACTGTGGCAACGGCACCCTGGGTGCCGCCATGCGAGGGCCCTCCATGGGCATGGCCAGCAACGGAAGCAGCAGCAGCAGTGGTGCCAGCTCAGGGACGGCTGGCGGCAGTCCCCCTCTGCCCATGGTGACGAGCTCAGGGACGGTGGCGGGTCTCCAGAGCTCCCAGTCAGCTCACGGCCTGTTCAGCTTTCCCATGCCCTCTCTGCTTGGCAGCGTGGCCACCCGCATGTCCTCCAACCCGCTCTCCATGGCCGGTTCCCTGGCCGGGAACCTGCAGGAACTGTCTGCCCGCTATCTGAGCTCTTCTGCTTTTGAACCTTACTCACGGACCAATGGAAAGGAGAGTGTGGACAAAAACGTTTTGGAATGATGTTTTTCAAAGGATTTTGATTCGTTTCGCTGTTCTCCTTGCTTTTTATTGTCTTTGTTTTGTTTGTTTGTTTCACCCTCTTCTGTCATGTTTGTGTTGTGGTTGTTGTTCATGTAAATCCAACTGAACATCTGATGCCTCTCAGAGGGAGGAAAACAAAGATATACACATGTACACATTTTCATTCTTACTTATGCACTAAATTAACATGTTATCTCCAAGTTCTGAATTTCAATACATATTATCAGAGGAACAAATATCCATAAGATTACCAAGGGGCAGCATTTTATTTTTTTGCCACATTTTCTCACATTTATTTATCTGCAATAGTAATCACAAAGAAAACACATAAAACTAGTCTGTTTATGTTTGGGTAACACATCACAAATGTTTAGCTACTGGAGGTAATTGACACATTACACACAAAGTTTTTGAGTGGTTGGCCAAGGGTGTAACATGATGGTACCTTTTTGATTTTGTGTTTTATTATTTGCTTGTTTTGGGTAGACTTGTGTCACAGTGTGTAGACTTAGAGTTATCAAGCACTACAGCTTGTGCAATTCAGGTGACAGAATGTCAGTTTAGGACGGCATGGTGAACTTGGAGTTAATTCGGCCCTTTGTCAAATATGACATTTCCGTTTACGGAAATATCGCAGGTCTCTTTTTCCATTTGCAGATACTCATGAGGAACACAGGTATTTAACATACAAATTCCATTTACATATGCAGTTTTGCAATATTAAGCTACAATAACAGTCTTTTATACCAGTTTGTATTTGTTTTTATTTTTGGCCCAAAACAAACTAAAGAAAAATGTTGTCATACAGTATGATAGTTAAATGGTTCTGTGTTAGTTGTTTTCTAAATGGTTTTGTGAGGGTTTTCCCAATATGATTTTTAACACAGTCTAAATGTGTGACTTTCATGTCTTAAAGATGCAGTATTCCACTTTTTCGTCTGTGATTTTAATAATATTAGAGTGGTAGTCCAGATTTCCATGTACAGAGAAGACTTGGAGAAAAGCTTGGAAATGTGGGGTAGGGCAAAGAAAGTTCTGGGAAAGCTTTTGAACTTCAGAAAGCTGCTTGCATAGTTGGATATACAGAATTTAGCTTGATGCAACATGATTGAAAACGGTGCAGAAGGTTTTGCAATCTTTAAGACAATGACTTTTCTCGTGTGAAATGTTTTAAGATCAGTCACCATTGCGGAAGGTTTAGAGGGAAATTAGCATGAGGTGACTGAGTGAAATTACTGTAGTATAAAAGAAAAGAAAGAAAATGAGAATTGTACCTAAAATTGTTATTTTATTGTAAATTATTCACGTCTGTAATTAATAGATGATTAGTATATCTGCAAAATAATGAATGAATGAATGTAAAAGAGGGGGGTGATAAATCAATCAAAGCTCCTTGATGCTGTTGTTGTGAAATATCTTGAACTTTGTGAAATGTGTGGTATGAGTGTGGATACATATTATATATATATATGGCTACCAAAAAAGCCAAGTGTGTTTGTTTTTTCAATTTCCTTCATGGATTCGTCTTGATGACAATCCAGTTATGATAAAAAGGCCATGTTGTACCTTCATTGACAATGGGTTTGAATAGCAGTTTATTTCACATTTTTTGGGTATTCAAATGAGGTCTTATGCCCTATGAAGAGACCTTCTTCTGTATTATTTTTGGTTGCAATGCTACTTATTGTAGCCTATTCAGTGTCTAGTGAAGCACTATAAAGGAAATGCTGACACAAGGGTAAGGAAAATTGAGTTCTTGAATTAGTCCCCCTAAGCTGGTAACCAGGATTGTGTTCAATAGTAGCATACGTGTTTTGGGGGAGTGTTTTTGTTTGCTACCTTAACCCTAACCATAACCACTGCCTCATGGGTAAATATACAGTACAGTGAGCTGCAGATGGAATCGCTATAAACATATCGTGTAATACAGTAAAATAAATAATGATAAGAGCATAGAAGAAAACTTTTTTTTATGTTGACACATTTTTACTCTTTAATTAATTTAAAAAATAGTGCACTTCAAAATGTTGTATTTACAGTATGGTCTTGAATATTACCACAAAAGTCAAAGTTAACTGAATAGAGATAATTATAACATAGAGGAGAGGAAGTGAGAGTACATAGTCTTAGATGCAAAACTATAAATGTAACCAATAGTTTGCCAAATTCAAAATCACAAATTCAAAAATTTGATTGAGGGAATGAAGGAGGCTAGGGAGAGGTGAAGAGATATAAAAAATATGGTCTGACTCACTTCTACAAAGTTTCGGAACTAGATGGGGTTAGTTGAAAGATTACAATTGTTAAGATTGTTATAGAACTGTCAAAATGGACACTGAAAAAACGTTGTGTCTGGAAGCCAAGCTATGCAGCGAAAAGAGCCTTTGCAGTCTCTGTCTTCAAGAACCCTTGGAGGCCTTTTCATTAGTACTGTTTTCTATGGAATAGGAAAAAATCCCACTCCGGCCTATGAAAAGAATTGAGTTTAACCATTCAAAACGCAAAAAAACGTCACACAAGGGGGGGGGGGGGGGGGAGCAGTTGCAGTGGTCTTAAGTTACATTTTAAGATGCAGTTCCATTCCATCCATCTCTCTCTCTGCTGTGGGTGTGTGAAGTGATGCTTCAGTGGCATTGGAAACTGAGGGTCTTTTGTCTATCAGCAGTATAAGCGTTTTGACCACTGTGTCTTGGGAATCTCCCTGGAGAAAAAAACAAAAAAAAACATATCTTAAAAAAGCAGTTGCAGTGGTCAAAACCATGAAAGTCTGGCGACAAATATGATGATAACAACAATAAAGGTAGTACAGGGTTTCCAAACAAATAACCCACCATGTGGCTAAATGGCTTAATACCCCTGGAGTGGCTACTGCTCTACCATACTACATGTGTACCAAATTGCACGACTGTGTGTTAAACAGCTTTCTGTTTGTTTGAGTCAATGGAAATTGCATAAAAATAAGATATTTTCAAATGTATTAGCGTTAGCTTATATCAGCTAAGTTCATTAAGTTGTACCTGGTACATTGGCTGTCAATTATTGTCACATATTGAAAAATTCTATAGCTCTCTTTTGCCACAGCAACAACTTAATATGGACCAGTACAAAGAGCATGCACACAAAAGTACATGGCAATTCAACCAGTGATGCATAAATAAAGAGGAGAATAATCCAATATGGCTGAAGTTATGGTTCCACGTTAGACATTTATTTCCCTGTGTGCAGATGGAATTTGATAAAAATAATTTATGTTTTTACTTTGATACCTAACTTTTAATTAGTAAAATTAGCATTTTAGTCATGTGTTACTGTGAAATATATGCTACAAGGAAACCTGACGATACGAGAACAGTCTGTGCCATTTAAATATTTGAACTCAGAGTGCTGATGCTGCACCTCCTATTACATTTGGGCTACCATGGGAACACAAAACCCTGTTCAGATTTAACATGCCATATAAAGTTATAAAACATTTCAGGACATGTTTGCTATGGGTCTTAAGTAAAATGTTAGGATGCAGTTCCATTCCATCCATTTCTCTCTCTGCTGTGGGTGAGTGAAGTGATGCTTCAGTGGCATTGGAAACTGAGGGTCTTTTGTCTATCAGCAGTATAAGCGTAGACAGTGAATCTTACCTTTCCCACTGTGTCTTGGGAATCTCCCTGGAGAAAAAACAGTCATTTATACCAACCCCCCCCCCCCCCCCTACCCCCACCCATTATCTCTCTTCTACTGCAGTCCAATTAGACAGAAGGTCGGGAGATTTTGTAAGTGGGGGGTCAGGGAGCCGGTGGAGTTGTTGGGGGGAGTGTCATAGCTTGAGACCACCAACACATTTCTCCCATCACATGACCTGTCTTTAAGCTAAGGCCTTGGGAGGAAAGAAAAGCTGCATCCAGTCTGTTTTTGTTCTTTTTGTCCACCTCTTTCCTTTTCCTATTTGTGCATATGTATGGGGATTAGAAAGTAAACAGGTCTTATCAAAGCGTCAACCCTCTCATGCCACATAAGACCAGCGAGAACTAGTGACCTCAGTTCCTGAAGTGCGACAAATCTAGAGGATTTCCTAGTCCTTCCCAGACTATTAAGTGACCCGCCTACCTTGGACAGGCTGGTAACCTCACTGAATAATTAATCCAATTATGCAATCAAAGGATTGAGAAGAGAAAAAACCCTTAAAGTGACTCATCTCCTATATGTCTGTACTATGAGACTACTTTGAGTAGTGGGCCATTCCAACGTTATGGACATTACATTTGCATGCAAAATCACAACTTTAATGTTTCACAGAATGGACAAACGAAATATAAATGAAACTGTAAGTCTCTATAGGGTGGAGCGTATAGCCCAAAAAGCAGACTTCTAAATATTGGCATGTTGGAGAAATAAAGTAAATAAGAGGCGTCATGGATGTTACATGAAATTGACAAGCTTTTTGCGGAGACTGAACATATTACCAAAAGTTTGTGAGTTTGTAAGTCTTAGGTCAAAACATGGATAGCCATTTTGAAGGAAAGGCTTGGCTGAACACAAATATTATAATTTTCAAAATATTGTCATTTCCATAATTACTTTGGAGAAGAAAAATTACTATTATGAATGTTACACTCTGTTATCAATGTTATAGAGTCAGATTTCTTGATCAAAATCTATCATAACACATTTGTTGAGAGCTGGACAAATGTAAACAGAAGCCATAATACCTTAGAACTACATAATTACAGGTAGCTTGAATAGCATACCGCATAGGCTAAAGCCAGGCACCACACCCGAAATAGAGTATTTATTTATCGTTATATATATCAAAATAACCATTACCAGTTGAATGTAGACACAAATATGACGTTATTATACACTTTCTGAAATATTGTATTAAAATATGCAAATTAAGCAATACACATTTGCCTATTCCGCCATTCCCACTCTTCTACACTTTTCTAAATTAACACGTCAACTTCATTACAAACACTGGGGGCCAG